CCGGAAGCCCCGGGGCAATCCCACACGGGACGGCGGCCCCACGGGCATGTGCGCGCGCGTGCAGACGTGTGCCTGGCGTTGGGGGGCTGCCCGTCCACGAGCGCACACCTTCGCACGCGCTGCCGGCGTGGTGACGGCGCGTGTCTGTCGGTGGCGGCGGGCCCGGCCCCGCAGCTGCGGCCAGGCAGCGTGTCCCGCACTGGGGTGTGTTCCTGCTTTTCCCCGTGCATGCGTCTCAGCCATGTGCACGCGTGTCTCAGCTGTGTGTGCATGTCTCAGCCATGTGCACGCATCTCAACCATGTCTCAGCCATGTGCATGCATGTCTCAGACGTGTGCATGCTTGTCTCTGCTGTGTGCATGCATGTCTCAGACGTGTGTGTGCATCTCAGCCATGTGTGCATGTGTCTCAGACGTGTGTTCCTCCGCTCGGTGCAGCTCTGTCCCCACCAGTATCTTTGTCACAATGAAGGAAGAGGCTATTATGTTTATTAAATTGTATCAAGGCAGCATTACAGCAATTGGCAGCTGGTGACCCCAGTTATTTATAAAACAGGCTTTGGAAATCGCAGCTCTGGGCTTAGGCTTTTCTTCAGAGAATTATGGAAAAAAAAAAAAATCAATATTGCGGGATAGGGCCAAGTCATTGGTTAATTGTGGGGTTGGTTCCAGGAAACGCCTCCTGGTGTGACAGCAGCCATGGAAAAGCTGACCTCCCCCTGCCTCCCCAAAACCCCCAGCCAGGGCTCCTGTCCTGCAGCGCCTGCCCTCTGCGGTCATGGGGCCATGGTGGGGGACATCCCTTCTTTCTCAGGACCCAGCACGCTGCCTGGGCTGGTGGCTCTGGGACCAGAAAAGGCCAAGGGAGAGCGGCTCGTTCCTTGCACTGGGGTACTGGCTCTCTGAGCCAGCGGGAACAAGGGTGGGCATCATCTCATCCACCTTTTGCAGCATTACCAGGGCGGGGGGTGTGTGTGTGTGTGTGTGTCCGAGTCTTGGGGTATTAGGCTGGTGTCCACCCCGATCCTGCAGTGGTTGTGGGTCAGAGATAGGCTCTCCTGGTGCTCATCACCCAGTGCCCTGTGATTAATGGGGAGAATTAGGATGGTAATAGCCCTTTAAATGAAGGTGCCAGTTACAAATGATGTGTGCCCGTGCTGCGTGATGGATGGTGCCAGGGCCAGCCCCTGGGTGCTGGTAGGCAGGTGTGCTCAGAGGCACATTACAGACAGAGCAGGAGCAAGGAGGGGACTGTGATGTCATAGAGATCAGTGACATTATGGGGTGGGCATGACATCACACGCTAGCTCAAAGTGAGGGGATGTGGGACAATCCCAGCACTGTGTGTACATGGCGGTCTGGCAGGGAGGAAGGGCTGTGGTTGCTCCACCATTATCTGGCTGTGCAAGTCATCATGAGATGTCACAATAGTGCTGGCATGTGATGCCCTTCATGGAGCTGCTAGTGCTGCCCAGCCTCACCAGCCCCTGCGTGGCCACTTGTGCCCCCTGGTGTGGTTGTGCTGGGGCCCAGGCAAGGGGTCCCGGGCAGCAGCCTTGCAGGGCCAGGAATGCCCTTCTCTCTCCAGGAGGGGCCGGGTCCTCCCAAGATCCAGCCCCTTCTTCCCGTGCTGGAGCTTATCCTGCAGCGCAGCTCTGTGGGGCTATGAAATATATCCCGTTAATTCACCATTTAATTATTGGCTGTTTGTTTATTGTTTGTTTGCTTTAGTTGGTATGAATTTTTTATGATGGTTTCCATTGCACCCCGCCAAAAGCCAGTGAGATTTACAGCTTCGACATGAGCAGAGCCTTAACGAGGGAAAGGTCCCCTTTAGCAGCAAGGGATGATGCCATATCAGCATCAGAGGAGGGTTTGGGGCAGTTCCTCCCCGGGCTGGGGGGGCACAACCAGTGGGTACCAGCTGTGGGGCCAGGGAGGCTGTGGGGAGGCTGTGAACTGTGGGGCAGTGGCCCATGCAATGGGGGTTTGTGTGGAGCCAGGAGGCTGGTTGGGTGGCTGGGGGGGGGGACGGTGTGGGGGGACAGGGGGGCCCAGTGCCAAGGCTGGGAGCCAGAGGAAACGGCATGCTCAGGTGCAGGCACGTTCAGCCCCAAGACGCAGCAGCTCCCTAATGAAGCACCCCTTACACCCCGGGGGGGTGGGGGGGGGGGGCACCCAATTCAGAATGATAAATTCCCCGCGACAGCACTGCGCTCGCTCGCAGCAGCCGTGATTCTCCTTCATCTTGAATAATATTTTTGGAGTGGTTGTAAAATAACCCGCCACAGCAGCTGCAAGTGGAGACACCAAGGCCCTGTGGCTCTCTCCAGCCCCGCCACCCCATTTGTCTTTTCAGCTCCCCACCCTGCGGGATCAGGTCCCCATAGCCCTTGTATGGAGCCAGGGAGTGCACCAGCACACATGTGAGTGTGCACCTAGCCATGCATGTTTGTATGCACGCACATGTACAAGCATATATCTGCTCATAAAGGCATGTATATGTCCATGTGTCCATGCACATCTGTTCGGATGTATGTGCGCACAGGTGCCCATGCACATGTGCGTGTGCAGGTATGTGTAGCTGTGCAGGCAGGGGTGTGTCTCTGTGCACGCATGTGTGAGTGCAGAGCTGTGTAGATGCGCACGTACGTGTAACTGCATTTGCAGGTGTGTGTCCACACACATGCATGCTTCCTGAGGTCAGCTGCTGTAATTCTTTTCTCTCTAGGAAGTATTTGTGGGCTGTCTTGTTCTTCCCCAAAAGCGCTGACCCATCAGATCTGCATGGTGCCAGGCAGGGGCAGCCATGAAAGAAGAAGCTCCAGCAGGCTGTGTAGATGCGCACGTACGTGTAACTGCATTTGCAGGTGTGTGTCCACACACATGCATGCTTCCTGAGGTCAGCTGCTGTAATTCTTTTCTCTCTAGGAAGTATTTGTGGGCTGTCTTGTTCTTCCCCAAAAGCGCTGACCCATCAGATCTGCATGGTGCCAGGCAGGGGCAGCCATGAAAGAAGAAGCTCCAGCAGTGTCTATTTGCTAGTGTTTATTGTGTCTCCCTCGGGGGGGGGGCAGAGGGGGTGGGGAGCATGCTGGAGCCCCCCCCAGCACTCTGCAGGGCTGAGCCCCTCACGACGGCTGCTCCCGTGGGGCTGTGGGCAGCCTGCCCAGGGGGGCTCCTGAGCAGCAGGGCACACACTGTAATCACCACGGAGGAGGGAAGCATGGCACAGAATTAAACTGTCTCTTAATTACAATCATTAATGAGCATGGAGGCAGCTGGGCTTTGTGGGCAGGGAATCCCACTGCATCTCTAGGAGGAGTCCTGGGCTTGTCTGCAGGGAGTTAGGAGCTTGCATTGGGCCAGGGTGCAGAGATGCAGGTTGCTCCAAAGCAGACCTGGCTGTGACAGGAGCGGGATCCCCCAGACGTCCTGGGCTCCTAATGCTGCCGGACACCCTCTTAGGATCCCTGCTCAGTGCTTTGGTGCTGTGCTCCAAAGGGGTTATGGCACTGCATGTGAGTCCTACCACTTACACACATGTGCATATGCACATACCCCATGAACCCCTTCCCGCACACCTCTGCTGTGACCTTACGCACACACCCCCTCCCCATACACCACACTACTGTCCTTGTGCCGCAGCAGCCGTTGACAGAGGAACGCAGTGAAGGACATGCACGTGCCTGTGCTGAGGGCAGGATGCACTCTGTCTTGGGGAGTGGCACTTAATCAATCCCATTTCAAAACTCTAATTATATCAACAAAAGCCTCAACATGGTGCTGCTGGCTGCAATTCAGGCCTTGTTTATTTATTTCCACACACTCCAGAGAAGTTTCTCCCCTTTGTCCTTTTATACTTTGCTGAAAGAAATGAGGTTAGGATGGAGTGGCACCAATGGGGCTGCGCTGTGCCGGGCAGAGGGTGCTGAGGTGGGGAGGGAGGCTGGACTGTTGGGCTGGGGGGGCAGCAGCGGGGCTCTGGGCATGTGTGGGAGAGAGGAGAATCCCTCGCGTGCTCCAAGCCAAAACTTCAAAGTGAGGGGCTTACAAGTCATCGGTAAAAAGGATTGCCAGAGCTCTTGTGTGCATGCATGTATGCATAGAGGTGTTCATGTGCGAGTGCCTGCAGACATGTCAGCATGTAGGTTGTCTACCTGTGCATGTGTGTGTGCATGCATGTATGCATCTGCATGAGCAAAGACTGGTCTACTGGGGGGCACTGGCTTTTGGCTGCGAGCCCTCAGTGGAAGGGGTGTTCGACAGGGACTGGCCTGTGCCCATCAGGTGTGTGACACTGTGTGACATTGTATGCCACCTCGTCATGCTCTGTCCCCAGCTGCCCCCCGGACACGATCTGCACTGGCTCTTGCCACTGCCAGAGAATGACCACCCGCACCCCAGATAAGGGTTGGGGGGGTCCAGTCCCTGCCCAGTTCCAGCCTGCTGCTTTTGGCTGCCCACTCCGTCCATCTCCCCAGTCTTTTGTTAAAAGCCAGTGGATACAAATAGCTGGTTTCCATATGCACAGCAGCATCTGTTACTGCCAGGGAGATTTGCATTGCTAAATGTAAATTGGGTGTTATGTCATTTATCATAAACGGGAGGGTGGAGGGGGGCGCTGAGGGGAGGCAGCAAACATCAGCAAAGTTGTCATAGCAAATCACACGACTCATCGTTCGCCCTGGCAGGAAGGTGCGGAGCAACCTGTGAAGGATTTGCACGTGGAGGGAAGAGGCTGGTCCCTTGTACAGAGAAGGAAACCAAGGAACGAATGCGGTCTGGGGTGCAGACCTCAGGCGTCCAAAGCTAGTCATTAACCCAGTCATCGGGGCTCACGACGGGAGAGGCTGGAAGGGGCAGAGTGCAGCCAGGGCTCAGGACGTGATCCTCAGCCTCCCTCTCCCCTTCCAGCTTGCAGCGTCCCCCCCCGGCCGGGCGCGGCGCGCCCCCCCCCGCCCCGCCCCGCCCCGTCCCTCCCAGCCCTGCTGCAGACACCTCCCTCACATCTCCTGCCCACCCTCCATCCTCGGACGGCGCTCGGGAACCTGCCATCGCAGCCAGACCTTCCCCACACCCTTGCCATGAAGGGTCCCCTCCTTGGAGGCATGTTCTCACGGCATGTCAAGCGGCACCCCGGAGTGAGTCACCCCATACCCCCCTCCCTCCAGGGACCCCCCCATTCTTCCCCATCCCTCTGCATCCCTCTGCCCCTCTCCTCCTCCCAGGGACCCCCCCCGCAGCCCCCATCCCTCCGGGCTCATCCTTGCCCTTCTCTCGCCACGTGCCTCGGAGACCCTGCGTTTCCCCACACCCTTCTCCTGCCCTCCTCTGCCCTTTGCGTCCTTCTCCAGCCCTGTCTTCCTCCCACTCCCCAAACCCCTTCTCAGACTCCCAGTCCAGCTCCTCTGCCCTCCCCGTGCCTTCCCAGGCTGTGCCTGCTTGCCAGCTTCCCCTTCACACTGTCCTCCCAGCTCTCGCAGCATCCTCCAGGTAAGCTGGGTGGTCCTGGAGGTCCCCAGCCCTCCTTTACTGAGGAGGGGTGAGACCACCCAGCACTGCCTGGCCTGCTCCCTCTGTCCAGTGCTTCTGAGAGGCCAGAGGGCTCCTTCGCTGAGCCAGGCTGGGCTTCGGGCACGTTGGCTCTTATACACACCTGGGCTTACCTACCCTGACAGGCATGCCTGCTGGCAGCTGCTTGGGTGAAGAGTGCTGCTCCGTGTCCTCCCCCCTGCTACACCCTTGCTCTGGGGGCATCTGTTTTTTTGGGGGGGTGGGGGGGTGGAAATCGAGCACCCTCCCCACTCACCCCGGCAGCCCCAGGTTTGAAGCACCAACTCCCATCCTTTCAGCTCAGAGCTGTCCCTGTCCCTTGCCGTCAAAATTTCAAGCTGAGGGTTTTGTGTACAAAGCTGCTTAAACCCTCATAAACTACAACTACCTGCCAAGATGGCGGCAGCTGGGCAAGTGTCCCTGCCCTGCCAGGATGGGTCTCTTTTGCTGCTGGGCTGGATCCCCTCCTACAGCAGGGACCTGGCCCTTGTCAGAGGGTCCCCAGCTCCCCCTCACCTGTCCCCCCTGCTCAGTGTGGGGGGATCTGGCAGGGGCTGGTGGCCTGGGGAGGGTTAATGAGCTGCAAGCGCCGGGCTGAAAGTCACATAAGCTGTTGGCAGTTGGGTTTGGCAGGGGTAGAGCAGCCAGGCTGGAAAAGATGATGAGCCATGGCTGAGCATCCGGACGCCTGGCTCACCGGCAGGGGAGGGCAGGGGAGGGGAGTCCAGGCCTGGAGCAGGAGGCACCCTGGGGCTGGGCTTTTCCGGGGAAAGGTGGGTGCCTGCGCACTGCCAGCATGGAGGGCATGGGCAGCCAGGATGCCTGGGTGCTTTTCACATCCTCGGTGAGAGCAGATGGATGGACAGCACAGGCCAGGGCTCCTGCACTATCTTCATGGCACTACTGTGTGTTTCTGCATGCAGAACAGGGGGATTTGGGGCTTTTCTGTTCATGCCTGCCACGGTTTCCCCAGCTGACAGAGGACTGTGTGTGACTTGGGAGACACAGAGAGGCCCCCAAACAGTACATGTAAAGGGGAGGTGGTCCTGGGTGCCTGTACGTGAAGTGCCTGGCATGTGCCTGGCGCCATTAAAGCGGGACTATTGCCGGCAGAGGTTGCTGGGGCAATTTTTGACATGTCATCCATTACATGTGATCAGCTGCAGCTCATGCCAGGCAGGTACATCAGCACTTTCACCTGGCATTAGACTCTCCCTCCACAGCATGCCCAGCTGCCTGCCCGCCTGGCAGTGATTAAAGTCCCAGGCATGCCAGTGGAGCACCATGGTGGTGAAGCGCAGGAGCTTTAGCAGGACAAGAACCTGCCCAGCATGGCGGTCCAGGGGCTGCATGGCTCAGTGGGCACCTTTCAGGCACTGGGCAGAACCCAGCACTGTGTCCCACCATCCACTCACCTCGGCATATGGTCCTGCCGTGGGAGGGGATGGTCGTCCACACTGGCATGAGGCGCTTGTTCCACCCCATCCAGGCACAGGGCCCCCGCCTCACCCAGCACCTTCACGCATCTGTTTTCTCCTTCCTGCTATTTTTGTAGCCAGAGCGGTAGGAATAGGGCCAGATCCCCACTCCGGCAAAGCTGGCACCAGCTTGCTGCTGGGTCACTTGGAAGCGCTGGGTGGTGGCGGGGGCTGCAGCTGGCCTGCGGCCAGGACCGACTGTGCCTGGCCGGGGGGGCTCAGCCCAGCTGCTGGCAGAGATGGGTGTCCTGGGGAGCAAGGCAGCGCCTGCCTCGTTCCAAACAGGTCCCCACAATTGGGGTTAAAGGGCAAACGCTGCATGCACATAAGCAGCGTTTTAACTCTCTGTACGCTTAAGGTCAAGCTCTCAATACATCTTGTTTATTTTTGTGCATGTCTTGGGGGGGGTCAGGCCCCACTGCCTGCTGCATGAGTGATTCCCCCAGCTCCCCCCACCCTTAATTCTTCCCAGGCATTAATTACCCAGAAGGCGTCAGCAGCAGATGGTGAAACAAACCCATCGCCCCAAATCTCCTCCAACAGACACCACAATTCCCGGTGCTGTGGAGTTCGTCTTGATTAGCCAGTGCGGTTGGGTAGCGGCTACTGCCAGATCCTCTTGGCACCCAGCCGCACACGGCGCAAAAGATCATTATCTGCTGATGCCTCTAACCTCCTGAATTGGCGCTGGCATCTGCCAGGCTCTCGATCAGCTGGCATGAGCACAGGGCGCTGCTTGGCTTGGGCATGGACACTGCTGAGCAGGAACTGGGCCATGCTGGGGGCACTGGAAGAGGATGGGGGGGTCCAGTGGGGACCGAAGGCCGGGCAGGAAGTGCTTGGGGAGGGGGACACATCTGACTGCCCAGGTGTCTTCCCCACAAGACCCCTTCCCTGTGCAGGTCATCAAGGTGCTTGGCAGAGAACAGAGGCGTTTGGACAGCCCCTTTTCTTCATGCTTTAGAGTCGTCGTCCCCAGTCTCATCCAAGTGGGGAAACTGAGTCACTGTGCAGTGGGTGGTCAGGTGGGGGTTTGGAGACACTTGCTAAGAGTTCAAGCTGCCAAGCAGAACTGCAAATATAACCCAGGCGCTCAGGTGCTGGCAATGTGAACTGTGCGGTGCGCATGGCTTTTGTGGTGCCGCCGGCCCCCGCTCCCTGCTCCGCACTAATGGGCACTGCGAGGCGCCAGCCGTGTTTGCCTTCCCAGGGGCATGGGTTGGTGGGAGGTTCATTACGCTCAGACCGTCTTCCCCGGTGCAGAGGCCACAGCAATTTGGGGGAGGTCAAAGCAGCCTCATCTCGGCTACGATTGAGGCCGTGTCCCCCCAGGCACTGGGGGATTGGCAGGGGC